CCCAGAGCTAAGTTAGGGTTCCTTTCATGCCATCACTCTCTGTTTCTACACCCTGTTAATGTTATCTTACATATGGTCCTTATCATAATTTGCAGTTTTGTCAGTATCTTATCTTTGAGCTCTATGAATTGAACTTATGTTCCATTAAGTTCCCCTTCTATTAGACATACTGGGTAGTGCACATTCATGTCTTAAATTGATGACCTTGATATAGAAGATATACCAGTTTGTTCTGGGTAAGATCAGATAGATAATAGAGTAGATAATTAGATAGATGACACATAGATAGATAAGTAGATAGATAGATAGATAGATAGATAGATAGATGGATAGATACATAGATACATAGATACATACATAGATAGATATATAGATAGATACATAGATAGATTCATAGATAGATACATAGATAGATAGATAGATAGATAGATGATACATAGATAGATTCATAGATAGATACATAGATAGATAGATAGATAGATGATAGATAGATGATACATAGATAGATTCATAGATAGATACATAGATTGATACATAGATAGATACATAGATAGATGATAGGTAGTAGGTAGATGTGTTGACAGATGATGGATTGAGCACCAGTCATTAAATCCCTGCTATGATCCATGCACTGGGATGGGAAATAAATCTGCAGAAAATGACAAAACAGAAGTACCTACCTATGCTCACATTTCAGAAAGAGGGGGGCCATAAACAAACAAGTATATCCATATGGTAATGTGTTTTGTTAACTTGACACAAACTAGAGTCACCTGGGAAGAGGGAACCTCAAATGAGGATGTGCCTATATAAAGTTAGCATATCTGTGGGACATTTTCTTAATTGCTAATTGCCCGCAGTGGGCAGTGCCATCCCACAGGTGAGCCTGGGCTACATAAGGGTAGTTCCAAAAGCCAGGAGAAGCAAGCCCATAGCAGTGTTCTTGTTGTGTATGCTTCAGTTCCTGCCTTGGCTTCCTTCAGTGATGGACTGTGACGTGGAACTGTAAGTCAAGTAAGTCCTTTCTTTCTACACTACTTTTGGTCATGGTATTTATCACAGCCACACAGAAGCTGGCTAGCACAAGTCAACTAAGGAATGAATAGTGATTTCCTAAATTTAAAATAGGGCCACATAACAAAGAGGGCTTTGCCTCCCTGGTCAAGATAGGCCTCTCAGAAGTGTTGGCTTTGACATTGAGGCCTTAATAGTAGGAACACTGCCATGAAAAACCTCAGAGGGAGGGGCAGTGGAGACAAAGGGGACAACCAATAGGAGACCATGGGTTAAAATGAACCTGCTACATAGAATTCCATAGAGAACAGAGATGATGACTAGAATGCAAGAGAATAAATGAAAGAGGGAAAAGAAGCCCACTGAACTCCTGCAGGAAGCAGGTCAGACATATCAAGAGGTGGCAACAGAGCCGGGAGGTCAGATGTTCACCTGTACTTTGGAAGAAAGCCAAGAAGTCTCACTAAGGAAAAGGATTTAGGATTTACAATAATAAAGACCACCTGGTATACGATACAGACACAATAAATATATGAACAAACAAACACTGTGAGGAAAGGGCAGAGGCAGGCCAGGGTGGGACACACCTACACAAGGGCGACAAAGATGAGCTGATGTCTGTCCAGGAAGGAAGCATCAGAGGGGTCAGCCTTACAGAATGAGAGAGCATGAATATAGAGGAATAAAAAAAAAATCAAAAACATTAGAACAGGGTCACTGAAGTATGTGACCTATCTCAGAGGAACTGTCTGCAACGTGACCACATTCCAGACAAGTCAGAATGAAGAACAAGCTCCTCACTCCCTATGAAAACCCAGTCAAGACAAAGGGAATGTCAAAGGAGGAAAGAAAAACATCCAGATACATAAATTCAGGCCACAGCCATAATGACTCCTGCAGTGGATAGTCACGGGAAGTCCTTAAGGAAGGTTTAGGATCACAATGGAGTCTTATGTTACCTCCCCCAAATGCAGTTTTCTCTCGATATTTTTTTTTGAAGCATGGTGCCATGCTGTCTTTGGGGGAAAAGCATTTGATCTAAAGGACATATTAGAAGAAAACAGCCTTGTGCATCCTCTGGGACAAACCCAGAAAGGATCTGAGGCAAGCCCAAGGACAAAGGAGCCCCCATTGCAGAGCAGTATGTTTACTGAAGCTTCCCAAACCAAGGTCAGCCATGAGTGTGCCCCACCTAGAATGTCTAATGGGAACTGTTCTTAATCGAATATAAATCAAAGTCATAGAGACCAAGAAGGTGAAAAGGGCTGAGACAAAAAAGAAGTAGAGAGAGAGAAAAAGACATATACCTAGAAAGAAAGAGAATGTGGGGGCTGGGGGTAGGGTAGGTGGAAGAGAAGGCAGAGGAAAGCAGCCAGACATCAGATAGGGGAAAGGGCATTCAAGCTGCTGTTTGTCAAAGGGAAAGAAGGTAGAGATGGTTTTGTTCTTTGTAGGTTAATATGTAAATGACATTCTGATTTATTAGCGATCTCCAGCAGATGAGGTGATGATTAGCACATTTCCATATTTATAGAAAAGCAACACTAACTTTTTGGATTTATAGAAAATCAGCCCTTCACAAATAGCAAATTGTGCTATTATCGACATATGGTTTTCTATAAACAGAGCTGAGGTAATTATCCTGGGACAATTTGTCGGTGGGCTCCTTTTGAATATTAACCACTTTGGAAGCCCATTTCTGCCCTACATTATTTTACAGAGGAGGGGGCACCAGATACCCCAGGCAATTCATTAGTAATCCAACACTAAAGAAAGGAGCCTAAACCACAAGAGAAACACCATAGGTCCAAGGCCCTGAGGTCAGATCCCTGTAGCCTTGGGCAAAGTAATTCACCTCCCAGATGAGGCTCAGTGCTCTAGTGGCTAACATTTGTACAACACTATTCTCTATGTGCTGTTACAAAATTAAATGAGAAGATAAGCAGTTATGTGGGGAATTTAATACGTGCTCAATAATGTTGATTCTTTTTCCTTCCGCTCTTGCTTTTTTGAATTACTTTAAAAAGGACTCACTTAAATAGATTTTGAAGTTCCCTTTACAATAATCTTATGAGGCTTGTTTTGTATTTCAGTATGACAGTGCACATATATACATCTTTATTTAACTGGAAAAGGTTTCCCAAATCAATGACTTGCTTTTGGTTCCTAACATCTACTATTCTGTTTTATGTTCTATCCTTTGTTATTGATGTTATTCAAAAATGTCCTTGTAATCCATGCACTGATTTTGAGACCTGTTACTGCATTACAATCTACAGTTAGCAAAATAATGGGTAATGGGCACCATTATATCCTGGGCACAAGTATAGTAAATGTTCAGACACATATCTAGCATTATTACCCCCAAAAAGAGTACATACATAGAAGAACAAATTCAAAATGAGCTAGGCTAGCCAAGAGTCTGAGTTAATACTTCCTGTCTTGCGTTGTACATTTGCTTTATTTTGGCCCTGTGTGAGCATTAAAGAAACAGAAGAGCATGGGCCACAAGGTTCTTGCTTTCACTGATGTTGCTTTCTAGAGGGGAAAGAAATACTAGTAAATGAAAAATTATTTCAATACTAAAGTGTGTGTCCTTTATATGAGCAGGTTGAAGAAGAGGAGTGGACAGCCTGGCATCTTAAAACTGGGCGTTTGAACTTGGTTTTGCAATCGGGATGGATCTTACAACTTGTGATCACTCATGGTTTAGCTCAGTGGTTCTCTGTAGGAAGTGCCAGAATCACATGGCAGGGGTGTCATGTGAAAACTCAGACTACTGAGTGTACACTCCAGGAGAGTTTCCTTTGTTAGGATTGGGGCAAAGGCTTGAGAATCCACCTTTCTAATGAGCTATTGGGTAGGGTGATTACAGACTTAGTACACTCTAGTAGCATTTCCCTCAGGGTTGGGGTGAGATCTTGAGAAGCCACCTTTCTGATGAGTTATTAGGTGGGGTGGGGTGGCTGGCTTTGAGCTCACACTGAGAGCCACTGTCATAAGGGTTAAATGAGAAGTATGAAGGCTGATGATGGCATGCAAAGGGTTTCAGACATTATTCTTCATCTTTCAGGATGTTGATCATTTGATCTGTGAAGTTTTTATCTGTTGGTGGCAACTGCTAAGAACATTTGGAAAGGCCAATCTAGAAGTTGGTGTCATAAGTAAAAAAAAAAAAAAAAAAATGAATGTTCAGCCTATCACAAAAGGATGGTGGTGGAGAGAGAGGGTGGAAGAAAGAGATTGAGGAGGACAAAGTGGGATGAATTTAGGTTTCACTGACTAACTGCAAAGACGTTTCTTTACCAAGAACTCTATAGTCAAAACAAGGTTTCACATTTTAAATAAGGAAACGTATTCATTCTTTATGAAGAGGTAAGTATGAGGATATAGGAAGAACACAGTTTAGAGGACCAATCCAGTCTGAGTTCAAGCCCTCCCTGTGGTACTACTTAGCAAGTCATTCTAATGAATATTGTCTTCCTGGAAATGATAACACACTACATCAGAATCAGTAGACACTATAAAAGCATGCTGTGGTCGTTCATTTTAACTGCTAACATGACACAGTCTAGAATTACTGGTGAAGTCATAAAAAGAGCTTGTCTAGATCAAGTTAGTCTGTGGGTATGTCTTTGAAAAATTATCTTGATTATTTTCATTGGAAATGGAAGATCTGCCCACTGTGGGTAAATTATTCCCTTGGCAGGATCTGGAGTTCTATCTGGATATATATATATATAAGCATAAGCATTGATTGGGTTCATTTCTCTCGACCTTTTAACTATAGATGCTGTTTGACCCGTTGTCTCAAGGTCTAGCCTCTGTCATTGTCCACAATACATTGGAATCTGAAACTGTGAGATAAATCCTCTGTCACCTAAGTTTCTTTTGATGGGGTATTGTATCCCAGCAACAACAAATGAAACTAAGACACATGTCCTTTGTGTGCTGCCAACTGTGTATGTAGTTCTGGATCTACTTACCATAAATTCCCATTTTCTCTTTGTCAAGCACTAGAACATATTCATAAATGCCACCCATGGTTCCAGAGGTGATGTAGTGGGTGCCGTAGTCATTGATGAACTTGGCATACATGCCATAGTTAAACTGGTCTGGGAGCTCCATTAAGGACTGCAGCATTCCTTCATCCAGCACAATATTGTTCCTCCTCATCTTAAAATGTGCAGTCTGTACCTTTGTAGACACTCTCATGAAGCTGTATTTCTTCCAACACCATCCAAATGAGGCAAAAAAAAAAAAAAAGGAATGCCAAAGGTCAGCAGGTAGTAGCTGAAGGAAACACAAGCTCATCAACATGTGTAATAATAAAGTATTAGATTTGACAGTCATGCCTAAGATACCAATTATGAAAAACTTCTTCTGTGCATTTCCCTCTGCTCTTTGCCCACTGAGTGGCAAATGTCTGGTAGACAGATGAGTGTATAAACCTTCTTATCCATTTTAGGGGAAGAGGAGTCTTGTTTTAGAAACCTTGTAAGTCAAATTAAGAGTGTCTTGCTGGTTTTCTTTAATCTAACCACTCTTTTTGTTTTCCTATATGTTCTAGGTAACCATGCAAAGACTGGGGGAGGGGCAGAATGATAGGCATTCTAGTCTCACAGTACGGCTCTATTCCATTTGTGATGATGAGTCTGTATGCAAAGGCATAATAAAAAACAAACACGATCACCACTGATCAGACGTTTCCAATTACACAAGCAAATTAAGGTTCAATTACTACTGTACTTTTTAATGCAATTAAGGTAATACGTGTTCAGTGTAGATTATGGGATACTGAGAGACACAGACTTTATGTTTTAATACCTTCTCATTATACTTGCTTAACTCCTTCAGGAATGAAGATGCATCGGACCAGGATACAGCCGCCTCTACTGTGATATTTTTTATTGGGCCTATGCCAAAGCTTATGCTATTTGACTGGGACTTGTCCTTCTTTATTTTAGAAAAAAGATCATTTGCATCATCATAAAATTCTGAGGAGATTAAAGTATCTGCCAGGGCCTGAAAAGAGAAAACTAGATGTTAGCTTTGTATGTGATTCTTAACTCATATGTGCCATCAGGATCTTTGCTTTGTAAGATACCTGAAGATTCCTTTCAAAAAGCTAATCCATGCATCAGATTGATCCTCACTAACATAGAGAAAATCTAGCAATGTTACTTTGTGTTAAGTGGAACTTGTGAAATATTTCTTCACACACTACATACACACTTGCTTGTTCCTGCATGCAGACAGTTATGTTAAAACCTCAACTATGTTCAAAGCATAGATTTTCTTGGGAGTGAAGGGTTGCTTATCTTTTATGAAGGGGGGATGCTTGCTTGAACTACAAAGAGATGCTGAAGTCTGGAGGACTGGGCATTGACCTGGGCAGAAAGGGGTCAAAAAGGCCAGGTGGAAAATAAGAATCCTAGTAAGCGAGGTTTGGTGCTGTCCCCAAATGTCCAGTTATTTTTTCCCCCTGCACTCAACAAGGTTGCATTTCCCAGCTGACTTAAGCCAGGCCAGTATCTTATCCTGTATTTGAGCAATAGAAGTATTGCTTCAGAGCTTGTGACTCTGAGAGCATATGCTGCAGTGGAGCCTTCAAATAGAGTGGGTACCTGAGTGTCTGTGACACTCAGACAGATGAACAGATACATTAGCCATAAAAACGTCAGAGCCCTGACCACAGCTAAACTAGCCCATCTTGCCTGGCACACAGATCCCAGATCTTCCTTGAAAGTAGGAAAATGGCATTATCAGTATCTTTCAGCTTAGCTCTTCAGAGGCCTGACACCAAACAGAGGTGGACCACAGAATTAGAGAAGCAAATGTCTTAAAAACAGAGCCCATGTCAGTACCTCCTGTTAATACTTTTCTCTTAATGCATCTTGGAGTGGGGAGGCTGTATCTAGACAATTGCTTATTACATCTGCCCCTGTAGACTTGTGCAGACCTATGTACACAAGCCCATACATGCAGTGTATATGTCCACTCTCCTGAGTGATACATAATTTGCTCTTAGTTTGGGTAGATCTGGTGAGAATATTGTCTCTGCCAACTGGTCCCGGACAGCTTTAGGACTGAGATTGTATTTCTTTGTGCTTCCTTTCTAAGATCTGAAAGGGATGGTGATGTGTGATGTGTGATGTGTGAATCTCATGTTACTGCTATGACAATCAAGTAGGAGAACATACATAGAAGATCTGGCCACACAGAGCAAGCTTTCAGTGATATTGCAGTATGAACACTTCCCCACAGGTAAGAAAATGTGTGGCCTTGAACTGGCTCTGAATTGTACCGTGAGCCACTTGATATTCTGTGTGACTGAGAAACCACAGAGGTTTAGAAATGGAAAGCAGAAGCATCAGCAGTTTCAAAATAGTCTTGATTTGGGGGTGGGGGTGGGGGAAATAGGATTTCTTTGTACAGTCCTGGCTGATCTTGAACTACCTGGAACTCACAGAGATCTCCTCTGCCTCTGCCTCTGCCTCTGCCTCTGCCTCTGCCTCTGCCTCT